GTGGATCTGTCAGCCCCCGCGGCTGCTGTTACCGAGTCTGCGAAGACTCAGGCACCAAGCAGCGGCGCAGCAAAATCTGAGCCAGCTGCTAAGCCATTCAGCTTCTCTGGCTTTGGCAGCAATGCGGGCAGCACTGTTGGCGGCGGAAGTTCGACCTTCAGCTTTGGTGGCTTTGGCGGCTCACTCTTTGCAGCTACTACTTCTGCGCCCGCAGCTGCTCCAGCGGCTGCTCCTCAAGCGGCAACCACGACAACCGCAAGCAGCAGCAAGCCCGCTACAACAGCTGCGCCCACTGTGACAGAAGCAGCTACAGTTGCTAATCCTGCTGCAGGCAGCGATGCAGCCAGTTCCAGCAGTGCGGGCAGCACCACTTCGTCTGCTGCATCCATTACCACCAGCAGTGCTCTGCCCATCGACAATTTATTTGGCTCTGTGAACATATGCAAACCCCAGACTAAGGACAACGCAGCAGGTGAGTAATTCTAACTTGAAACTCCTTGCTCAATTTTTGTTAATCTTCTGTTATTCCAATCACAGTCACTGCACCGGCCAACATCTTTAGTGGTTTCCGTCAAAGCGCCACTAGCAGCTTTCCAGCTGTTTCCGCCGCGGGCGATGCCAGCAAGAGTTTGTTTGGTGGCGCAGTCAGCTCTGGTGTTGCAGTTAGCCAACCAGCAGCAACACTAGCAACAACGACAACAGCAACGTCTACAGGGTCAGCATTAGCATCAGCAGCACCAACAGCAGCTACAGCTACTCCTACAGTTGCATTGCCAACGCCATCAGGAACACCAGTTGCAACTCCAAGTACATCTGCAGCGACAATTGCTGGTGCCACAACAGCACCCACTTCCACAGCTATGGGAGTCAGCAGCACGAATGCAGCTGCTGCACCAGGCAGCAGCTTCTCATTCGCGAATTCCTTCAGCAACCTGGGCGCGACAAGCGCATCTGGTGGCTCTACAGCAGCAACCAGCTCAGCCACATCCGTGACGAGCAGTACACCTGGCTCAGTTTTTGGTGGGTCGAACGCCTTTGCCCCCGCTACAACGGTCAGCAGTCCGTTTGGAGTCACTGCTCATACTGCAGCTAGTGTTTCGCAGCCGCCGTCGGGCAATATTTTTGGCAATGTGCCCAAGCCGGAGGCAAGCGTCTTTGCTACCAGCTCAGCTGCACCTCCCACTGGTCTTTTCGCGGCTGCAGCGACGAGCAACCCGTTGCCATTTGGCAGTTCACCTGCCGCACCCGCTGCCACCGGCGCCAGTTCTGGCGGCAGCATTTTTGGGCAAGCTACGGCTCTAAAGCCCTCCGGTTTTGGCACTGCTGCCAGTGGCGGCTCCATTTTTGGTGGTGGCAGCAGTGCTGGCAGTCCTTCGCTCTTTGGCGGCGGTGCTGTTGGCGGATCCTCCATTTTTGGTGGCGCTGGCAATAACACGCAAAGTCCTCCAGCCGCTGCGCCCTCTGGGCCCATCTTTGGGCAGAGTGTATTTGGTCAGTCGGCTGCCTCTGGTGGCGGAAATCTTTTTGGCAATGCCAGCTCTGCCCAAACTCAGCCATCGGCCTTTGGTGGAGGCGGCTCAATTTTCGGTGGCGCTGCCAGTACAACCTCGCCAATTTCCTCAGGAGGTTCCATCTTTGGGGGTTGCAGTAGCTCTGGTGGCTTTGGCAGCTTCAGCCAAACAACACCTACGCCTGGCGCTTTTGGCGGTGGCGGCGTCTTTGGCCAGAGCGGTGGCAACTCGGTAGCTCAATCCGGGTTTGGCTCGCCTCAGCAGCAAACTCAACCGCCCACTGTTGCCTTTGGCGCCAAGCCCGTGTTTGGCGGTAGTCCTGCCTTTGGCGCAAGCCCCACATTTGGTGGCGCGCCCACATTTGGTAGTCCCAAGGGCTTCGGCACGTTTGGAACCAGCTCCGGAATCGTAGCTCCTCCAGCTTTTGGTGCTCCAGCTAAGCCGCCAGAGGGTAATATCTTTGAAACGCTCGGTGGCACCGACACAGGTCTGTCCTTTGGCAACTTGGCCCAAACAAGCAACCCGAACAACCAGAAGCCAAGCTATGGCGGGTAAGTGATCTCTCTGTTTTCGAATTGGGTATCTGACTCTTCATTTCTGATTTCATTCCACAGCTCCTCCTTCATGACCTATCGATGAATTGATTGCCTTGTTTGTCCTTAAGCGATGACTTTGAATGTGAATTGAATTGAATAAACTTTGATCATATATGTATCTATAAGCATAAGCATAAGTGACTTTCCTTTTAATTTTAATCGAACAGTTGGAAAACTCTTCTCGTGCATAATCTGCTGGACTTGGAGAAAGTGTAACTTTTTGAGCTGGGAAGAGTTGGCACATTTGGAGCAGTCTCGAAAACAAATTTACGGTTTGAATGATAGTTTCATAATTTCGTAGACTAATATAGAAACAAATATTCCTTACGGTCCCATTCAAACGTCACAGCGACAACAAATACGCGTACGCCACAGACGAAATATACCAACTTGTGGGGTCATCCGGAGACGAAACCTCCTGCTCCTGGTGATAAATGCTTTTGACTTTAACTAAATGCCGCCACAATACTGGACTGGCACCCAGAAGGACATATCCACGACTTTGAAGAACGGGTTTGAGACTGGGATTAAAATATACATATGTATAAAACAAATCAGAAAAAAACTGCACGGTATTGTTGAACATATTTATCATTTTTATTATCAAATAAATATTACACACGGAAATTAAAGCATTCGATGTGCCTATAATGTTATGTCGAAAATGTTATTTTCTTTTTGAACTTTCTTTTGTAAGTTGGATTTAGCCATCGATTTCCTTTAGGGCTCAAGGCCAAGACAGAAAAACAATAATAATAATAATCATAGTTTATAATAATGATAAAAACGGAACTGAAGTTAACGTTTAGCAACAGCTGTTACACATTTAATTTTCGATTGGTTACACATATACAATAATATGCATATAATTAGTGCGCATAGTTATACATTAATAAAAATATATATGTAGTACATATTCATACATGGATATACGTATATATAGCATGTAAGGACAGAACTAAACAAAAACGTTGACGAAATAAAGGCGAACGCGAACGTTTACAAATAGTATATGTCGTATATAGCATATGTATAAATAGTGAAAAATAGACAAAAACATTTTACATACATAGAGTTATACATACATATAGCATACATATATAGATTAGTATAAATAATTATGTATATATATTTATATATAAAGGTTTAGGTTTAGATTTAGGTGTAGGTTCTTTAAATGCAATTCGTAATTTGTTTTCTTTTTTTATACTTTATAATATTTAATTAGGTCTAACTTAGGTTGGTAATTGTTAATTGTTAGAGATTTACATGCGACTACCCAGCTTAGATGTTTGTTATCCGATTTATGTTTAGGATTTTCTTTACTTTTTTTTAGTTTGTTTGCTTCTCATTTGTTAGTTACGTTTAGCACACATTTAGTTACAGTTAATATTATTATTATTATTACTTTTTATTATTATCATCCAATTTCTATTATTTTTTACACTAATGCTAGAAAAACACTTTGCAACAATTGTTGAAAATTCGTAAGCATTTTGTTCTTGGTTTTGTTTTCATTTCATTTGCTTGCTTGTTTTTGTTATTGAGCAACTTACTAACTTAAACAGAATTTCGTTAAGCATGCTTATCATTAGTATTACCGTTTTTACTCGTTTCTTTGAATGCACGGCGCGTTTAAAACGACCGTTACATATTGTGGTGTGCAGCTGATTTTGAAGTTTTCGTATTATCGTTTCATTGTTTTTATCGGTTATCGTTATCGTTTTAATTTTTTAAACAACTGTATTCTATCTACAAAAGGAAACTGTTGCTACAATTCGATTCTCTTTGACAGGACGCAGGCGAGGGAATGTTCTTATATATCATCTTTTTAAATATATATATATATTTATTTTTTTGGGCGGGGCATTTATTTGTGGGCGTGCTTTGGCGACGTGGGCGTGGCACATGCAATGACTTGCTTAAAGCTTGTACGCTCGACCATGTGTGTATGTGTGTGTGTGAATGTTTTGAAATTGATTAAACGGGAAAACAGGTTTGGAAATACGAAAACAAGTTGGGGAAAAAGAGAGGAAAGTTCAAATATCCTTAGATTTTTGGCAGGGGCTACAGTTGCGTTCATATACATATAGTCGTATAGTTTTCAGTTAATGTGTGCTTTTATATGTACATCGCCTGGGTAGCTTGCTAGTAAGTATATAAATATTGTATATGTATATATATTTTATATATAAGAAGCGGAAGTATACTAGAAGTATGGGAAAATGCAAAAGCAGGGACGCTCCTAGGGACAAAAAAAAGTTTGCATAAATGTTTGATTTGATATATGTATGTCTGTATATATAGAGAGCAGAAGTGGAAAACTTGAAGATAATAAAATTTAAATAATGTTAACACAATTGTTAAATTATTAATGTGACAACGAGAGACTGTTTCAATGTAGTCTCTGCTGTTAATATATAGTTAACATGGTGGTATTAACAGTATCAGTCATTTAACTGTAAATGATGACGTTAACAGCCTTACGTAAAAGGGAAAGATTACTTGATGTTTTTGACACTTTAACCAAAATAATGCTGTTAATGAGTTAACATTATCTTAACAGTTTGTCAACAATATTTAGAGTTAGTTTAAAGGAAGTTGGCGAATTTATATCTAAAGCGGACGACAGTTTTCCAGATCTACCTAATAGAGAGTATATATGTGTATATATGAATATAAATATGACATATGATATATGTATATATATATGTATGTTTGTGGAGGCCATATAGAGTGAGCGCAGTAGTAGTAGTATTAAGGGGTAAAAGTTGYGCCTCCTGTGCTAGTAGTCAGAGTGGGTTAGAGAAGTAGATCAGAACAACAAATGATGATAATAATGTTGATAATGATGATGATAATGATGATGAGTCTGATGAGTCTGTGCTTCTCGAGGATTTACGTTCGGATTGGGTTCGGGAAGGTATTCGAAGCGGATCGAATACCCATTGTTGTACTACCAGTGCATCAGACGCAGCTGATCGAGAATGCGCTGCTTAAAGAAGGTGCCAAGCATTCCAAAAACTGTGGATACGGCAGCAATGCCCATCATGACCTGCATGACGCAATGAATGCCAGACAGTTCCTCGTCTGTCTGCCGGTGGCGATGGCGCGTTCGGTGGTGACGCCGGCTGCCCAGCCCGCTGCTCTCGTGCAAGCGCTGCAGACTCTCCATGTCTTCATCGAATTGCGGTATTATGGCCAAGTTGATGACCTCCGTTTTGGACAGCAACTGTTCGTTGGCAATTGTGTGAGCTTCGGTGGCGCCTTTGCTGGTGGCTTCATTGTGCTCTCGCTCCCGCTCCCGCTGCCGCTCCAGCTCACGCACGCGCGATCTCTCGTCCAGCATGGTATTATCCAGACTGAAGTCAAAGTCACGTCCTGTGGGCAGTTGGCCCAGCGAGTGCGGCAACTGCTGCTTGGAAGTGGGGTATTCGGCCAGATTGACCTTTGTGAGGAAGTGCAGGCTGCTGCTCGGCTTGCGCTCGGCTTCTTGTGCGGGCTGAGCAAGTAGAGAGCGGGGTGTTGCCTCAGTGACGCCCAGCATGGGCATGTGATCACGCACACGCGTCTCTTGGAACTGATTTTTCTTGATGCCCAGCACCTCGGACAAGGGCCGATTGATCATGGGGAGCAGTGAATCAGAGGTGGGTCGTATTATGAAGCTGCCACCGTTTGGAGCATGGGCCGGCGGTTCCAGTATCTCGGGCTGCATTGGCTTAGGAGTCACAGCTGAGCCCGGGGCTGGAACTGGTCTGTCTCCTGCGCTCTCGTCCTCGCTGTCCGTGTAGACCGAGTCGTCGGAGGAGTCGTCCGAGGAGTCGTCACTGTTCCCCTTGGCCTGCTCGGATGCTGACTTAGCAGAGCTGGAGCTGGTGAACTTATGCGTGAGGTTGCGTATGGGCTCGTACTTGGAGCTCTCCGAATCACCGCGATAAAGCAGCGCCACCTTGCCATCGGGTGTTAGTACGGGCGTTATTTTCGGATGTGGCGACGGAAAACGATGACTGCTCTCCGGATCCGGTGACAATGCATCGAAGTCTGTGAACTGTGTCGCTGGCTTCTGCGGCGCCTGCTTGTCCAGCTGCTTGTTCGCATGCAGCTGATGCTGCTGCTGGTCCCCATCGGCATCGGTGGGCGTCTGCTGATAGACAATGCCCACCTTGCCCAGGGGCGTGGATATAATTTTGATCGCATCATTGCTATTCTTGCGGAAATAATGATTCGAGCCGGAGTTGCTCTTCGAGCGTTGCGACCCAAAGAAGCCAGCGCTGTCGCCATTGTCAGGGTATTCATCATCGACACCGTCATCGTTATCCTCGCCATCCTCATCATCGTTAGCAAAATGGCCGCTGCTCTCGCGCAGATCAATCGCAGTGCTCGGCACGGCCACCGCCACAGCCGGCTCCTGCTGCTGACTCTCTGTGAGCAGCTTCTTCCGAATATTCTCCAGGTGCAGTTGCCTGTAGCTGTTGTTTGGCCTGAAGCGTGACTTGTAGCCTGCGCCGCCGCCGGCGCCGCTGCCCTCTTCATTCACGAAATGCTCCTCGTCGGCACGCGGGCGCGTTGTGCGGGGTCGCTCCAAGGCCAGACGCTCATCGTCCTCGTCATAGCCCATGTCTTCTTCTTCGGCACTCAACTGCGGCTGCTGTTGGGCTGTTGCTGAGATAAGACTCTTGGGATCTGGCAACTGCTCCGGTTCCTCATCATCCTCATCATACTCATCATCTTTATCTTCATTATCATCATCCTCATCTTCATCGTCATCATCTGCAAATAAGCTCATCACCTCGTCATCATCATCATCGTCTACGTCCTCGCCATGGAGGTCCGCTTGCATGCGTTCTGTGTCCGCCTCAATGTCCTCCATGGCATAGTCATCCTCGCCATCCATCGCAGCCGAAGCCGCCTCCTGTCTCTCGTCAGCAGCAGCCACGCCCAGCTGCTGCTGCCCCGTGCCATTAAATCTACTGCTATGCGGCTTAAGACTAAGGTTAATACTACTGCTACTGCTACTGCTACTGCTACTATTTCTACTACTATTATCATCATTATTAGAGTTACTGTTATTATTGTTGTTACTCATATTATAAGTTAAGTTTAATTGTGTTCCTAAACTAACATCTAAGCTGCTATTGCTTCGTATAAGCAATGGGGTAGTCGCATCTTTCAGTCAGTAGCATTTCTTGGTGCACCCGCACTTGCGCACAATATCCAAGTTCTTGATATATTTGCGGTTGTTGCTGCATACCATGCGCACCTGTTGAAAGAAAAGTGAATCAGGTGATTACGTCATAATTAATTGGTTTTATATAACACTGGATAAATATTGTAAATATTGTAAATATTCTTTTATGAATACAATTAAGTGGTTACTTTTTTGGTTACTTTTTATACCCTGAGCCCATTGAAAATGGGAAATCTGGGTATAATGGTTTTGTGAAAAAGTATGTAACGGGCAGAAGGAGGCGTGGCAGACCCCACAAAGTATATATATTCTTGATCAGCGCGACGAGCTGAGTCGATATAGTCCTGTCCGTCTGTCCGTCCGTCCGTCGATAAATCATCCGATAACTTTTTCATCGAGAATAATCGAAAAATTGATTTTGTTTTTCGGCCTCATTGGAATACTATTAGACCTGGAGACTTCAGATTTACTGTGTATATACATATGAAGTCTATATGGGCGCCAATTCGCCCAATTTGTAAAAAACGCATTTAATGTCTAGAGACTTGTGCTTTGGAATACATTCAAATAATATACATTATGATTACGTTCTGAAAGTTTCATTGAGATTGTACGTCTAGAAATTTATTTATTCAACAAATAAATTCGTATAATATTGCCCACATTGCAGCGCAGCCCAAGTGCGCGTTCTAATACGTGCGTGTGTATGTATGTGTGTCAAAAGGAAGTGCAGGCTGATTAGAATATCAGATTAGAGGGTTCAGGGTATCTCCTAGTCGAGCGGTCTCGACTAGAGTCTTCTTACTTGTTTTATTTTAATTTTTAGCAAATTCCATTTGGGAATTTTGAACATTTGTAGAATAATGAACATTTTGAATAGGGTAGGCCATAGGCAGATAGAATCAAATGGAAAATTGAGGCAAGCCTAGATTCTGGATGGAAAACATATCCTACGGGTAAGGCTTTCAAGTATGCCCGAACTGGGCTCTTGGCCAACATAATAATAGCTATAATTGACATGTGAAATCCTTTTCATATATGTATGAATGTAGTTCTTTAATTGGTGGTATAGAAGAAATAAGTATATATCTAATGGAATAATTTTTGCACTTACCTTGCGTCTTCGCACAATTTTGGCCGCGCAGCATTGATTGCCGCAACCGCCAACGCATTTGGCGTACTTCAGCGGCTGCCTGGAGCGGCAGTCGTTCTCCGTATAGTACTCACGCACCTGCTCCTTGCGACACGTAGCGGCGGCTGCAGTGAAAAGTGGAACCGAACGGGAAAATGCAATTAGTGAGCCACCTTTGACAAGAAGACGGCGGCGTCGGACGGCTAATGAGATTACGCACACACACCCACACATACACACACAGACACGCCTGGAACACCTGTCCCTTTTTACTAGTCGAGATACATGAGAGATGAAATGGGCGTGTAATGTTTGATGTGTGTTTGATGTAGGTTTTGTATGTGAGTATATGAAGGTGTGTGTGTGAGCAAGCAAATGAAGTTATGCAGCATAGCCTAGCGGATGCGTTGCGATTCGGGGCAGCTGGGTGAAAGGCTGTCTAAGTTGTCAGAAAGTTGGTTGGCTGGCATATTATACGGTTTCTTTGAAGGCGCAAGGCGTGGCATCAGTGTGAAAGCCGGCATGTAAATTATAACTGCCTCTAGCCCCCTCCCTCTCCCCCTCACCATACTGATGAGAACTGCCAACGAGCTGGTACAACTTTACGGAAACTTTATAATATACATATATTTACACTCAATTTGCTCGATGTAACGGAAGCTATACCCTATGCATATGATAAGTGGCGAGAGCTTTATTTAATTCCTAGACATTTAGAATCGGAACAACAAGGATATTAATGATGCCAATCTCCTAATTGCCAAAAGTTTGAAACAATCGGTGGGTGAAGTATGTATCTCTAGTTGTTTCTTGAATATCTGTTATATTTCGAATAGTATTCAGCCCTTATGATGGCAATTCGCGCTAAAAACTCGAAATCTAACAATGGATCTTTATAGACAGATATATGATATATATTTTATGGAGCTGCCACTTCTCCTCCTGCCTGTTATCCTACTATCATTCTCATTTAGATATCGATTACTCCTGTTTATCGATTATCAATGAATAGACTACGAGAGGCGATATATACATATGTATGTGCATAATTGGAGGGGGATTTCTTAAAAATAAAGCTAAACATTTCATTTGACATAATTTAGACATGTTATAAATCTCCCAACCTTCAAGAATTGAGTAGTTTGCCTACCGAAATGGTAATCCCTAATCTCTAAATAGTTTCTATCCTATTGTTTCTTGAATCGTAGCACGCAAACCGCTTGAGCTGATCGAATGTATGTTGGAATGAGAGATCGCAATATGTACCCGTGATTGTTGGGGGCTCTGTGATGCCCTCACCTTGATCGCAGTAGCGTCCGCGCTGGCCGTGCTTGCATTTGCACTGATAGCCATCCTTGGAATTGGCATTGGGCACACAGCGACTGCCGCGACGGCACTTGTGCTCCGAGCAGGGATCGACGGGCTCCTGCGTGGATTAGCAAGGTGATTAGCAAAAGTTTCATTGGTAGCTATCCTACAGACTTACCTCCTTAATGTGCGGAGTCTCGTCCATGAAGTCCTGCTCGTCATCCTCCTCGCCCTCAGAGGGGTCGCCCTCCAGCAGAGCACAGCCCGGCGTGATTTTCTGCTGCCGCTGCGCATTGCCGAAGTCCACGAGCTTGTGATTAATCCAGACCTCCTTCATGCAGCCCTTGAAGCTAGTCAAGTTGCGTATCTGCCAGTTTTTGTAAGCCTGCTGGGCGGGCTCCACCGGCAGACCGCCAAGGAACATAGGCGTGCTCAGTTTCAGATAATCATTGGAGCCCTCATTGATGATGGAACGGGCCAGGCCTCGATCCACGCGCAGCGTGAAGTTCTTTTTGATGGCCAGTAGCTCGACGGCATGGTATTTGCCATCGGCGACCATTTCGAAGCTGTACATTGTGGACACCGGATAGTTGCCGACATCATAGCTAACGCGTATGCGTCCATTGAAGAGCTCCACGGCCAAGTGCGCATCCTGTCCATCATACATGAGGATTCCGTTCTGCTCGGCGCTGCTAAAGACAATGGTGACATTCGCCTCGGGCCTGGTGCGCAGCGGCTCCAGCTCCACGAACGAATTGTTGTGAACGAAGCTGATGCTGGTCAAGTACTCGCACCACTTGCCCGTGTAGCCCGGATGGCACTTGCACAGGTAGTCCGAGCCGGCGGCATTCGGTTGGAAGCAAACGCCGTGCTTGCACTCGTGGTTCTGGCAGGGCGACGTCTGGGGATACATCATGGAGATCAGGTTGTGGCCCTCACAGTACTTGCCCGTGAAGTCATCCGGGCACTTGCAGACGTAATCGTTGATGCCGTCGATGCAGGTGCCGCCATTCTGGCACATGTGATTCTGGCAGTCATCGATGTTGTCCGTGCAGTTGATGCCATGGAAGCCGGCCATGCACTCGCAGCTGTAGTGGCTGAAGTGGTCCAAGCACTTGGCCCCGTTCGCGCAGGGATTGAACTCCTGGCTGCAGAACTGAATCTTCGTATCGCACCACTCGCCGCTGAAGCCGGGCTGGCACTCGCAGCGGTACGACTGCACGCCGTCGATGCAGGTGGCGTTGTTCTGGCAGCGTATGTCTTCGCCCAGGCAGTCGTCGATGTTCGTCTCGCAGCGGGCGCCTGTGTAACCTGGCGCGCACTGGCAACTGAAGCGTCCCTCCTCCAGCACCGTGCAGGTGGCATTGTTACGGCAGGGATTGCCGTAGCAGGCGTCGATCATGAACTCGCAGTGCCTGCCATGATAGCCCGGCTGGCAGAGGCACTGGTAGTCGCGCTGGGGCAGGGCCAAGCACTGGGCCTTGTTCTGGCAGGGCTGCTCGTAGCAAGCATTGCACTTGGCCAGGATCTCGTTGCGCACCTTCCCACGGCACACGAAGTTCGACGAGGGCGTGGACAGTATCAGCTTGTCCTTCATGTGCTCCGGCTCGGCGCAGCGTGCAATGCCCGGCTCCACATAGTCCAGCTTGATCCAGTCCGAGAACCACTTCAGCGAGCAGTCGCAGTACAGGGGATTGCTGCCCAAAGCACTGCAAGTGCCAGGTTAACAAAGGGTGAAGGGTCAACAGAGGTTAACAAAGTTAAGGAACAAGAGGAAAGAAACCGTTACTCACATGTGTGTCAACGACTTGAGATCCTCGAAGGAGCCCTCCGGTAGCATGGATATCCGATTGCCGTGCAGCGAGAGCACGCGCAGATTATTTAGACCAGACAACGCATGACGTTGCAGGCATTGCAGCTTGTTGTACGAAATGATGCTGCAGCACACGGCAAAGAAGGAAAAGCAACATAATAAGTGAATGAAAAGCAGAAGATGTGGAAAATGAAGCGTTTACCAAATTGCGGACACATGCGGCACACACATCGATGATGAAGAAATGAAAGTAATTGCGAAACGTTTCAAGCCCGCCACACGAAATTGAAAAGAAATGCATTGAAGATGCGAAGACTGCACTCGCCTGACTGCGCGGATACCCTGTAGTTGCGCTGCGCATCGACCTCACCTACCCAACGGTTTGGTCAGATGAGAGATCCGACAGTCACTTCGATAGTATATGCTGCTTTTATGCAGGTTTTCTTCATTTTAGTCGCATTCGATCGTGTTTCTGACATTAGCGAACAGTGCAAAAATATTATTTAGACCGCAGAGGTGATGCGTACAGGGTATGAAAACGCCACAGCTTTGATTGCAGACTGCGGATTGTGCACACAAGCGGCACCAAGCGGCAGACGGCAGAAGCTCGACGGACTGGAGCGGCAGGGGCAGGGTGGAGGACGAGGACAACTAATGCTTAAGCACGAGTCACGACTTAACGTCTCGAATGAATTTCGTGGCCGGTTGAGACGAGCCCAGGCCAAGGGTGGCGGGCACAGCCACCGCGCCGCACCACCGAGCCACAGCCACTGCCACAGCTAAAGCAAACCGCAAAATGCAATTGCCGCAAAAAAAGCAGAAAGCAAAGAAAAAATTGTGTCAAGCCCTCTTGACGCTGAAACGTTTCGATTCGATTCGTGTTGCCTTAATGCCTCGTACGAGCCGCATTGTGGCAATTAAAAAGTCATTAGAAATGGGCCCAGTACTTACAGCGTGGATAGTTTGGTTAGATTGGCGAAGGTGTAATTGGATAGTATGGTGATTTGATTGTTGCTGAGATCGCTGCAAATGAAGCAGAGAGAAACAATTTGTGTGCTTCGGTTAGTCCGGGCCTGCAGCAAGCTCTGGCAAGCTGTTACTTACAGTCGTGTGAGCGCACGCAAGTGCCTGATGCGCTCATAATGAATCTGCTCGATCTCATTGGACTCCAGGTACAGCTCGGACGTCTCGGGCGGTATGCCGCGCGGTATTTCCTTCAATTGATTGCGTGAGCAGCGCACCACAGTGCCGGTGCACGTGCAGGCCGGCGGACAATAGCCATCGCCGAGGCAGCCCTCGTTGTTGTCGCTGCTGCATTTGAATTCGTTGTGCGGCAGATCCTTGATTTGCACATCACGTACCTTCGCTGGGGCAGCGCAACGTGCCGCACCGCCGCTCAGCGATTTTTTACGCAACCACTCGGCGAACCAGGCCAAATGACAATTGCAATTGAATGGATTCGATGCTAGATTCCTACGAAATTGATGGGTAAATGCACAGGTTTTATTTCAATTAGTTACAAATACGTGTCTAAAACTTAAACATGGGAAACGAAAAGCAAACAGGCCGAACCTATATACATAGCTAGAGCTGCAAAGACACTTTCCCATCTCTGCAAAAAGTGGATTACGGCTAAAGTTACATTTAATTCAATTCAGCTGACATAAAAATATCCGCTATAAATAGCTGACCAGTCTGGCAAATGGGGTGCTCTATCGGTTTTACTATACGATTGTAATAATTTTCTGCACTTAGGCTATGCAATAAATTTCTCAGCTTATCTAAGTTTGACTCTAGTTATTATTAAATAAATAAACACTTATATAAAGCTTCAATGGAATTAGTTTTTGTGTATGTTATTTTATGTTATGTTAACGCTTAACATCTGTTACTTTGATGAGCTAAGCTTAACATAAATTCAACTACTACACAAAATGCACTTCTACCATCCGGATGGGATGCCTCCCTCACATGATTTTGTTAAAGCTTTTCATTTGATTTGTGGCATAATTGTAAATGTGATTGACACTAGCCGTAATTGCATTATGAGTACAAAGATATTCAATATCAGCCTGGGCTGCGCACAGATTTGAATGGTTGCATTAATTATTTTCAATTTTGCACTTTTAGCATGCAAATTGTTTGCGGAGCATATGTTCCACTTGCTGCTCACTTGGATACGAGTGGGCCGCACATGGAGCAGCACAAGTGCCGTAAGTCCTTTAATTAGGCGCTCGGCTGAGAGCAGGCGAAACAATGGCTCGCAAATTACATTGGCAATTCCAAACGTTACACCAAGTCCAGACTAATTTAATAAGCAATGCTGCTTTGTCATGCTATCAACATTGGCTAGCAGCTGGCTGTGTGTGGGTCTGGGAGTCTAGGGTGTGTTTGTGTGTAGGGCGAGCAGCCGCAGGCAACCAACTAACACTTTCAGCTGGCACCTACAGGTCCTCCGCCCATCCACCTGAATGACGGAGCATGTGGATGTCGTGTGGTGCACAGCTCTAAATGACTTTCATTGATGCTATTTATTAGCTAGTTAAATGAATTTTACAATAATTTTAGATGTGGCCAAAGAACCTCAGCACCTCGCCCCCAAGCACCACACACACATTAAGTACAGTGCGACCCAATGAGACCCACATATGCCAATGTTACCTTAACAGACGGCAAAACTTAAGAAAGTTTCTAAAATATCGGATTGCAATATTTTATGCTTCAAGTTATTATTACAATAAAAATAATTGTCTTCGTAGTGCAGCTCTAGGAGAAATCAATATCAGTAATTTCAGACAAGCAAATATCTGGACATCCAGCATGAATTGTGCAACTGATTTATTTATTTGTTGTTATTTTTATTTTAATAAATGAAGCCTATATATCAGAAATGATGTAAATTTACTTTCAATTAACTGTCGATTTCTTGAACACATTTGCAATAAATCTCAATTGATAAATTTAAATATAAAAGTGTTAAATAAGCAAGGGAATGATGATTTCTTTTAAAATTACTCTTTGCTCAACTTAGCGAGGTTGTACTGTATATTCTTTAGTGCTCTTTATTGAACTCAATTTTAATTAATTAAATCATCGAAGGCAGCGCACACCCGCAAATGTGTGTGTGTGTGTGTGTGTGCGTGTGCGTGTGCGTGTACGTGTGTACAGTGAGGGTTGATTTACAGTAGACAGGCACAACAATGTGGAGCAACTCAGTCACACTGCAGTTGGGATACACGAAGACAGCGGGCGAGCCATGAGCATGTGTGTGTGACTCTGTGTGTGTGTGTGTAGTTGTTATCGTAGGCAGCACTGCTATAAATTGAAGTTCAATTGAATTATATACAATAGTTGTTGGCATGCTACGAAGAAAAACTGATTTGTTAAAGCGGCAGCAGCAGCAGCAGCAGCAGCAGGAGCAGAAGCAATCGAGCAGAAGCAGCAGCAACTTCTGTTTTGATGTGAAATGCTGGCAATCAGATGAAGTTCAACTGGGGAACAATCAAAACCATTAACCTCATTTTATGTGCCTGTGCCCTGTGCGCGTTGTGGTGGATGGGACGTGGGCGGGGTCATGTAAACTAGGAACGGGGCAATTAATGCCAAAGCTAAATCATTTATCTATTGAAGTGCATGCAGCGCACCGCTTGGCCACTTGGCACAGTTTTAATAGCTATGCATAGCCAGCAGACGCATCAAATGCCAACAATTTCTGGCGGTTGCCTGTGCCAGGGGTGGGAGTAGGGGCGCAGGGGCGTGGTAGTACTTACAGAGACGTCAGCGAGTTGAGATGCTCGAATGAACCAGGCATGACGCATGAAATTTGATTGTCATAAAGATTGCTGCAATTGAAAAAAGTAAAAATGCAGACGTTTATATGAAGTCACAAATTTGTAAGATGTATGCGTATTTAAATGAATATGTGTATATGTATGATGCCTTGTGGACTTACAGAGTTTTCAGCTGATGCAGTCCGAGGAACATTTTATTCGAAATTTCCTTTATCTTGTTCTCGCCCAACTGCAAATCCTGTATGCGCGATGCACCCTCAAAGGCGTTCGGCTCAATGCCAGTCAGCTGATTGCGCTTCAGCTCCAGTTTAACCAGATGCGGCAATCGTCCAAACAGGCCGTCCGAGTTGATGCGTCCCAATTCGTTGTCGTTGAGTAAACTATGAAAGCAAATACACACACACACACAGACACACACATGGTCAGGTTTAAGTTGATGTTAAATGTGAGCTGCTTATTTACAACAAAATACAATTTATTTGACCAAAACAAATCCGAGGCGATCTGATATTTAATGAACGAATTCGATATGTTTACATTCATCTTATTATTGAAAATAAGCTTCAAGGGCAACGATTGTTATAATAATGAATAATAATAGTAAGCAATCCACACTCAGGTCTTTCATTTGACAATCATTATATATCTCAGACCTAGATTCAATTATGAATTGCTTAATTCCTTATCCCTTGTATATATTCTATTTGATTCAACTAAACAATTCAGTTCATTAAGCCATCAGACATAACTTCGAGCAGAAGAGAAGAGGAGAAGGGGAATTAAGCTATAAAAAGCGGTTAGCGAATAATTTATGAACTGCCTTAAGAGGCGACCATTTAAGGAGGGATAACACTTATATAAAATGTATTGTGATAAGTATTCTAGGAGTTTGGTCTTGTTGGTAACTTACAGCTCTGTGGTATGCAATGGAATGTCGCGTGGTATTTCCTTGAGACCTCGTCCCGCACAGTCGACCGTCGTGCCCTCGCACTGGCACATGGATGGGCAGTCCGAGTCCATGCGACACTCGCCGGATAGCTTCATTCGCAATTCATCCCAGGAACCTGCACAATTGTCAAGTGGATGGGTGTGTGGGTGTGGGTGTGGGTGTGGGTGTGGGTGGGTGTGGGTGTGGGTGTGAGGGGTGGTACGACACAAAGTTAAGACATATTCTTTTACTTGTCTTGGTTTGCCCGTCGGGCGCACTTACATTTGAATTTCTCCTCGCGCAAAGATTCAATGCGCCGGCGATGCATCCGCTTCGGTGACTCACAGCGTGCTCCACTTGTCTCTATGGGATTTTTGTGCAAATAGTCGGCCAGCCAGCGCAGATTGCAGTCACAAATGAAAGGATTCTTGGCCAAATGTCTATACACACACACACACATACCCACGCACATTTATGTGTATATATATTTATTTGTATACATGTACAAGTATTTTTCGTTGTGTTGYAAATGGAAAGAAAGAAAGAAAGTAGCATTGAGCATTTGTAGTGAATGGAATGAAGGGAGCGAAGGGAGAGGAGCAGTGGGGGAGAGCAGCAGCGGGTGGTGGTAGGAAAGGCAAAACTGTTGTTGCCTGTTGTGGATGGAGGCTTGAGACGTCTTAAAAGTGCACGAGCCCTGCGGCTGCAACGTTTCCGTTGTTTGTTGCTGTTGTCGCCAACGTTTTGAAAACTATTTTCAAAGGCAATCCTTTCCCAAGAGCCTTCCCTGGCAATGCCTTGCGACAGAGTGACCATAAAATAGCTAGCAACTAAAATCATCTTAAATCATATTGTAATTAGAGGATAAAACTTTACCAAACCAGCTAAAATTAGTAGCGACTAAAAAGTTTATAAACTGCTCAGATATATTTGCAATAAATCGAATCAACTGTTAAGTCGAATTCAATTAAAGAATTTCGTGCTGGTTGCGAATATGAGAAGAGTAAAGGGACACATATAATAAGAAATATATATAAACATTTAAATTTTGTAAATCCTCGTGAATATTACTTCTATATACCGGACTAGGGTTCGAAATGTAGAATAAATCTACATACATATCATTATTATTAGTATATACCTCAATTTTATATTTTGAACAGCCTGTTATTGTGAAGATATCAATTCGACCTACTGTTGGTCACATTTTTGCTAGCTATTTGCTTTGTAGTTGACAGCCCTGGCAAATACTTAACCCACTCAAGAAAGGCGTAGACCAACTCAAGAGCCGCACAGCACTTAAGCTCAGCGCATTTATCGATGCTCCATCGTCCCTGCTTCCCGCCCCTTGGGGCCTATTGAAAATGCGCCGTCTTTTGTTCGTGGAACATCTTTACGGTTCACAGCCGATATTTGTGGATGTGGATGGGGCCCTGGGGGCTGTGCGGAGTCATAGAAAAGGCGGTGCTGATGTTGTTTGGCTGCTAAACAAATGTCAACGCGAGCCGCTGTTGCTGCCAAGTCAAAGGAATTACTAAATGCACTTCAGCGGTTTAACACCAAGTGCCTGGGAGCTCCTCCATTCAAAAGCCAAAGGAGCTGCCTGCTCCAAGGGGCGCCTCCCCACTTGCAACATGCGCTCGCCAGCCAAGCCACAGCCAGCCTCTCAATGGGGGCGGCTGTGGGGGCGTGGAAGYTCTTATGCAGCGGCGGGCGGGCGGGGCAAGGGGCGTGGTACTTACACCGTTTTGATGCTCTTCATGGCGTCGAATGTGCCATTAGCCAGCGACTGTATGTTGTTGTCGTAAAGTGAGAGCAAACTGAGGCTATGCAGGTCGCGGAAGGCATCCTTGCGTATGCAGGAGATCTCGTTGGCATTCAGGAGCAGCAGCTGCAGCGAGCTGAGTCCTTTGAATACGCCCGAGGGCAAATCCTTTATTTTATTGCCATACAGCACGCTGCAAGCAAAAGAGAGAAAAAACCAAGTTGAAAAAGACAAAGCAAATGAATAAAACACAAGTGGAAATACGGAACAAGTACGAATCGCTACGAAAGAGACAAACTGATAAATGAATACTCTTCTAGATTATCTTTCGCCTAAGCCTAATTGTTGTTTCTGGATAATATTATGATGCGGGTTTTCACAAAAGCTAAAGTGAACGAGAAATTAGCTATAAATGCCTTTTATATTGCATATAGCATGGTCCCTTTTGTTTTCACTCTATGAAGTCTAAACGCCCCAAGAAATCAAAATACCCTGCACCATATAGGGTATACAGTAGCAGACAGAACCTGTGCTGCTTCATGTTGTTGCTGAGGTGGGCTTATGTTGTTGTCATTGCGGGCGGCAACTGGTTTGGCACACAAACAACCTCACACTCTGCCAAAAGGGGGCAGTGGGCGGCGCAGCACATTGTGGCAAGCTCGAGTAATCCGATGCCTTGCGGTGTTGGCAACGCTTAGCGTAGGCCGATTAGCCCCTCAAGCCTCAGCTGAGACCCTTAGGCCCGCTGGCTGTCAGGAGGAGTGTTTGGCGGACGGACTGACGGACGGACGGACTCACTGACTGACTGACACTCCACACAATCAGCGAAGCGACTGCACATTTGGTTGGCATATGCATGCGCTACTTGTTGCTAATGTGCATCTACTTACAGCGTGGTTAGCTGCTTTAGGCCACTTAGCGCATCGTGGGCAATGCGCGAGATGTTGTTGTTGGACAGATCGATGCGTCGCAGTCGCCGGAAGCTGGAGAAAGATTTGGCTGGCAGTTCGGTGATGAAATTCTGCTCCAAGCGCCTATTAACGAAAAAGGGGAAGTAGTTACAATATGGCCAAATTTGTTATCCAGGTGGCTAAACTTACAGCTCGGTGGTATCATCCGGCAGTGTAACGGGTACACTCGTCAGACTCTTCTCACGGCAATCGACGATGCCATCGGCACAGCGACACGGGTGGGGGCAGCTGTTCTCCACGCCGCATTCCATTGGCGCATGCTCGGTGAGACCTGAAAGTGTGTGTGTACCAATTGTAGCAAGTGTAAAGCAGACTGCATCTTGAGCTGGTTACGGCGACTCATTCACCGAACCCAGCGCTGAGCCACTCGGCTTTGATTTGATCCACAGCAGTAGCAAGTTTGAAGCAGCCTCACCAGCAGCAACTACGTAATTATGAATGCTACTGCAGCGCGCCAAGATGCAGCTGACGGCTGCCCCAGCTACAGCTTAAGCTCCAACTGGAGCCACAGCTGCCGCTGGTCATAAATGTTTACCCACATAATTCCATAGCATTTTGTACACCAAACGAAAGTCAAACACACGCTAGGAAAGTACAAATCTAACTAAGTTGACGAATGTGTTATGCTCTTTCAATTTCAATTAATAACTGAATAAATTAATTTAATAGTCAGGTGATAACTCTACTAGGACTTGACTATTAGCTCAACATTTTCCTCTTTTAGCAACTTCAAAGACACTTTCCAGTAAATGTTCATCCATTAAGAGCTCGTCAGCGAAAGACTGAACTGAGTTCAATCCAAAATGAAATATGCCATTAAGCAGGCAGCAAAGATTGACTCAAATCAAATGAAATAAAATCGAATTAACGCCTCATTTAACATTAACGTATTGGCCCGCTTAAGTACCCAAGTGCTTGATGGAAGTGTGTAACTCTTTATGACATAGAGCATAACAAGTACAATATAACGATGGATGAAAAACTTGTTTCATGGCATCGGTTGGCGCACATTTTCCGCTTCATTGAACGCCAGAGTTTGTAGCTGTTCACTTGGATTCGGAGTCAAGTCGAGTCGCGTCGTGTCGACTCGAGTCGAGTTGAGTCGAGTCGATCCATTGGGAGGCTTTCCAAACGCTGCTGTAGCCCGCAGCATCTGCATCCCAATCAAGCAAGCGATGACGGCGTTAAACGTTTTGGCAAACACAGGATGATGATGATGCCGACCCTCGCCTCAACCCCTGCTGCAGCCCCCTGCTGTCCCTTCTGCTAAACCCCTTCCTGCTGCTGGCGCTGCTGCTGTTATTGTTGTTGGCTTGAGTGGGCGGCACAGTGGGGCGTGCCCATATGACTGCTTATGATTTACAATGCTTTGTTCCAGTCAATGCTGGCATATAAAACTAATTAATTTGGCATCGCTCTCTGAGGCCCCACGACATTTGTCCATTTTTGGAGGGCCTCAGCCTCGCAGCGATGTCATGTAGTCCATACCTGAGCATTTGAACTCCTGATCGTGCAGGTCCGCCACGTTTTGGCCCTTCAGTTGCGACGGCGATTGGCAGCGCGTGTAGGGGGCGAGCCGCGGCGCGCTGCGTAGGTAGCGCGACAGCCAGGATAAATGGCAATCGCAGGCGAACGGGTTATCCGAGAGGCGCAGCGCCCGCAATTTTCCCAATCCCCCGAAGGCATTGTGCGGCAGGGCGGTCAAGTTATTGTTATTCAGTGTGCTGTGCGAGTACAAAAGAGAAGGCAGAAGCGAGAATAAGAGAGAGAGAGCCAGAGCTACGTTAAGAGGTGGGTCTTGGGGGAAAATAAGTTGCACTATTGCATTATCAAGTGAATGCATCTTTGGTTGGCTCTTTGCTAAGCCACACTTAGGGATGGGCAACAACACAATCGCCTGCGTGTTATGACTTTTCTTTTACTGTTAGAACACATAGTTAATTTATTTATTCATTATTCAGTGATTCATACTATCATTTAGGATTGCATATCTTATCTCAATATAGCATCGATAGCTTAATATCTTTGTTATTGATCTATTGCTCAAACTCATTTGAAGTTTTAACACTCTTCTTATAAGATGTATTGATATGTTTTACTACTACTGACAGTTTATTTGTTTTTGCTTTTCAAGTACTTCGTAATTTTTCAACACTGTTTATCTATAATTGCACTAACATTCTTCTATATCAATGAGCTTATGGTAGAGTACCCTACACCATGTGATTATGCTAGCTAAATAAGCAGAATGTTGCGTTGTGTTTGCCCATCCCTAATTGCAGGGGCTCATAGTACTCACAGTATTTCCAGCTCCAACAATCCCTTAAAGGCATGCTCATCCATACATGTGATTTGATTGTTGTCTAGCTGTAGGCTCCGCAGCGATTGGGCGCCCTTAAAGACCCTCCGGCCGACCGTTGTGATGACATTGTGCGAGATGTCCCTGTCGAGGCGAGTCGAGGTTAGCAGGCAGGAAGGTAGGCAGGCAGCAGTGTGGTGAACAGGTGAGCAGGCGGGCAGGTGGGTAGCGGGAAGAGGAAGGATTTGAAAGTCAGTAAATGTTTGAAATCTATGGGGCTACTGCTACACAATAAATGTAGGCAGACTATATATAAATGTAGTTGCTACAGATCTACGTTGATTACTTACAATCGCAAAAGACTCGCTGAACTTGTCACAAAGTTTTCAGGTATTGCCTTAAGTCGATTGTTGTTTAGGCGTCTGATTTATAGAGTGAAGTGTTTGGTATATTTTTGTTTTTTTTTTTTTTTTTGTATTTTTTGTTTGGTGTACGAGCATATTATATACGCAAAACGAAACGCAACGAAAGTAGAGAGATATGCATAAAACGAAACGAGAAAAAGATACAAAAAGTTAAACTCAAAACTCAACAAAAATCGAATTTTGAACGATATAAGTATAATATTATGAATTTATTAATTTTTGTTATATAGCTATGCGCTATGTGCATCTAGGTCTATAAAGAGCGGCAAATTTTTGGTTAGTTCAAAAAGTAAATTAGTCGCAAAAGTCTCATGCACTAGCATCGAATCGGCATGTCATTCGATTTGTTTGCTATCCCAACTTTCGAATCGATGCAGTTCACTACTTACAGTCGCTCCAGTGAAACCAAATCTTGCAGTGCATTCTTCTCTATGGTATGGATTTGGTTGTCCGTCAGTTGTCTGTGAAATGAATTATATGTATTAATTATACATATTAGATATAATGAATTTATTTTCATTCAAGCATTGGCATTGTGTTTTCATATGTTAGCTTATCATTTTTAAATAAGGATTTATCTGTTTTTAAAATAATTCATATCAAATTAAACCGTTTTATAAGATTACTAGGCTTCATATCGTCATGAACTACTTTCAAATTGAAGATCTCTCCATAGTAAACTGATAAAATTATTTTATTTATCAAGATTTTCTACATATTCTTAGCCAATGGCGCTATTTACTCTCTTACAAAACACAACTGTCTCTAATAAATTTAATTTAATCTTGGAATTTTTAGTTTCCTGAGCCAATCAAATATTTAATGAGATTCTTGCCTAGCCAACGTTTCGCCAATTGCAAAATGCAAATAAATTCTTGACTATCAGTCGTAGAGTACAGTAAATACGTGTGTTGTGAGACCAGTTTCGTGTATACTTTCAATTCCAATTTACAGCTGATATCGCGGCATTTGGTGTCACTTTGCATGCGACATTTTGCATTTCGTAATGATCAATTTTGGACAGACTTTGCAACCAAAAATATTGACCAAAACTTGAATACGTGTTCTAAGAGGCTTAACAGATATGTTATAGAACTTGTTCAATTTTTAAATATATATAAAACTTAAACAAAAATATTTACGAATGATTGAATTGACTAAATAACGATTATCTCTTAGTCCTAAATAATATACATATATAAAAACATATGAAATGCATGAAAAATACTTGAAGCATTTAAATAAGACATACGATATATGTATGGTTTATACTTACAGCATTCGCAGTTTGGTCAAGCGCTGAAAATCCGTTTCATATATCACGGTTAAATTGTTGCCCTGCAAATCGCTGGAAAATAAAGAGAAAAAGAAAGAAAATACAATTACGAGATCTTAACTTTTGATTGGGGCTAGTCTTTAATTATGTTGCAACCCAAGTAGCTCGCTAATCGGAATCAGCTGGACAAATGCTGAACCATGTACGCGCCGATAATAATTTTTAATTGCTTGTAAGACAAGGCACATGAACAACAGCAGCAACAGCAACAATCTGAGATATGAATTCAAGCAGCTGGAGAAGATGCAGATGCACTCAGAGCAAGGAGAGAAAGAGAGAAGGGGAGCCCCGAAAGGGGGCTGTGGCTGTGACTGTGGCTGCGGCTGTTGAAAACTCAGCCTTTTGTCTGATAACAAAAATATGATATTTAATCATTTAACATGCGCAGGAAGAAAACTTGTTTTTAGTTTTACGATGGCACAGACAGACAAACCGACTGAGATACAGAAAATTTGTTACCTGTAGATGTCATAACAATGAAATGCAACCTAAGAGATACAAAATACCTGAAAACAGACGCGGACCGTGTGCGCATGCGCAGCCAGCAACGACAACAACCACTCGTTGTGCCCGGTGCCTCAGTTCAGCTCAGCTGCTTTTTGAGTAAGGTTGGCAGCCAGAGCTATGCCACAACAGGTAGTAAGACCTTCAGTCTGGGCCCAGAGCCACAGCCAGAGCCAGAGCCAAAGCCACAGCGACAGCCATAGCTACAAACGAGAAATATTTTTTAGCTTAAGCCGTAATGAAACTCGCATCAAGTGGCCGATGAGCGCGTACACTGAGAGAAACGCATAGGGCAGAGGTCGCTTAACAAAACACCAAGCACTAAATTGAGAATAAATTAAATTCCATGGCTCTCAGTTGATATATTGTCGATAACAATAACTCCTATGAATCGATCGATATTTATCGATCATATATTAATGAAAATACACCCAATTAAACTTCACAAAGATTGTTATCTCTCTGTGTCCTTCTGTACCTTTTACGATTGGTACTTCATTCATATTGTTTCAAGCATAACAACTAGAATAGCTGTGCTACTTATAAAGTCACCTATTTTTGCACCTTGAGAAACATCTTCAGTTTAGTCTCAGTGTAACATTATGACCAGGTCCGAGCTGCTACGCACGACACACTCACGCACACCAGCAGAGTTTTTAATGAGCTTAATATCTTGGCAAGATGTGGGCATCTCTTGCTTAGATTTAACTGATTACGGCGACCCATAGAGATACGCCTGAGACTTGAAACAAAAAACAGAAATAAATACAAATAGAATTTTAAAAAAAGTTTAAGTCTTTTCTAATTGCTAGACATTTTTCAGCATATTTTTAAAAATAATTACAATAATCGTAAGTTGTTTTTCAGTTTGCAAGTTGTGGTTCTGTGTGTGCTCAACTTTTTCTTTCCCTTGGAGCGCTGTGTTATAATTAAATATCTAACATATAGCATCTGGCATTTAGGCTCATTAAATCTTTTGGAGCATTCACAAATTCGCCAAGAAAAAGCCTTGCAGGTTTTAGGGCCCCAATTAGAATTCAGCACGAGTTGTTCGATTCATTATTTTTCATTCTTGTTTTTTTTTTCGTTTTGGTTGTCTTTGAAGATTTTGGCAGCTATAAATTAGGCTCACCTTTTTTAAATGTAACTCGACTTGGTTTTTTCTCTGGCTTTTATTCTAAAGGTGTGAAAGGGCTTTCGAGCACAAATTGGGGTCTGAGTTCGCCAGGGTTGTGAGAGGTTACGGCCAAAGTTGTATGCAAAACTGTTTTCGTGTCGATTGCTGAAAACGTGTAGGTGGGAGACTGCTTGGTTGGCTGCTAGGCTGACTGACAGACAGCCAGCCGTTGGTTACCATTCTAATGCTAGCTCCCTCTCATCTCCCATCTCTTTCCTCTGTAACTATGCCTGTCGCTCTGCTGTGTAATTAAATGGCAAGAATCGGCTTGCTCTGGGCCTAGCTCCACATTGCTTTGGCCCCAGCCCCAGTGCCAGCCCCAGTTTTGCATTAAGCATTGTTTTTGCTATTCCAGTGTGCTTTGCCTGCCAATAGTTGTGGGCATGTTCAATATTTGATGTGCACACACAGCACACACACACTCACAGATATGCGCCTCTCCCTATAAGTGTGTATGTATCCGTAGAAGCCCCATGTACACTTATGCTAACATTAGGGTGACCCAACTCTGCTGATGATTATCATAGCTCATATAAACAGTTCTTTTTATTTTTTGTGTGTATTTGGTCATAAACGTACCATCAATTAAAATGTCACAACGAATCTCTTAATTAAGTCCAGCTGACTAGTTCCTAGTCCGGCAAAGCCTCTCGACAGCTTTTATTACACTTTCATTGATTTTTTACTGAAAGGGTTACTGTGTTTGCATTACTTCGGTGTAACTTTAGTTGCTCCACCATAATTTAATTAAAACTAATGAATTAACATGCAGAAATGAGCGAATAAAGTATGTCAAAGCTAAACATAAATTACAGCTATCGGACTTACAGATAACTTGTTACAGCAGAGAGCTCTTTAACAGAATTTAACAAGAATCTAATAAATATACAAAATCTTATTTGAAACTAGAATAGAATTTCGATTCCGGATGTATATAACTATATATATATTCACACACACACATGTATTGTTAACAATAATTATACCCTGAACCCATTGAAAATGGGAAATCAGGGTATAATGGTTTTGTTAAAAGTATGTAACAGGCAGAAGGAGGCGTGGCAGACCCCACAAAGTATATATATTCTTGATCAGGGCGACGAGCTGAGTCGATTTGGCCCTGTCCGTCTGTCTGTCCGTCCGTCCGTCCGTCCGTCCGTCCGTCCGTCCGTCCGTCCGTCCGTCCGTATGTATGAACGCGTCGATTTCAGAAGATATAAGAGCTAGAGACTTCAAATTTTTTTTANGTTTATCATTAAAAATCGATAACTCATCCCGATCTTTTTTTATCGATAAAAAACCTTATCGAAAACCAGTTATAAAATTATATCTTCTACACCCTTATTGCTAGAGTCTCCAAATTTTTAATGTATGCTTATATGCAATTTATACAATTTCGGTTTTTGTTAAAATTTACCCCCCACCCTTAAATTCACCCCCTCACCCTCACTTTTGTAAAAAGCGTATTTCAAATACTAGAGACTTGGGCTTTGGAATATACACACATATTCACCATATGATTACGCTCTAAAAGTTTCATTAAGATCGTATGTCTACAAAAGAAATTATTTAACAAATAAATTCTCATAATATTGCCCACACTGCAGCGCAGCCCAAGCGCAGTCGCTGCTTACTGCGCAGTTAGCAGAGCGCAGGCTTATGCGTGCGTGTGGATGCATGTGTATGTATGTGTGCATAAAAGAAGTGCAGAATGATTAGAATATCAGCTTGGAGGGTTCAGGGTATCTCCTAGTCGAGCAGTCTCGACTGGAGCTTTCTTACTTGTTTTAAAATTGTTTGAATAATGGGAATAATTTATTTAGGGCCTTGAGTCGATAGAAATAATTGCTCATTAATCAACATTGTCTTACCACAAATAAGCAAGCAAAATTTAATTATTCCGTAAAAGGCGCTTAAGCGAATATATTTACTTTCACAATATAAATCTCCATCTTTTCGCCTCCCCGGAGCTATAAACATTCCTTAAATTACATGAGCTCTTAGCATTTTCTCTTCATGGATTTTAAATAAAACTGTCAATCATATTTTTTAATATCTCCCCTCTCGCATTGGTGCAGCTCATGTTTCATTTTTCAATTAAATTTCATCCAAATAGTACTCATATTTCCAGTACCCTCTCATTGACTGCACGAATCTCTTACCTAAGCTCTTTCGTGGTATATCAATATATAATTTTCAGTTCTCTCAGTGCTCAGTGCTAATGCCCCGACTGTCACTCAGCCAGTCAACATTTTCCGTAATATTTTTTAGTGGCCTGAAACACCCTGTGCCGGACAGGCGCAAGGTACTATAAAATGCAAATATGCATGCATGTTGATATGTTTTCTGTTTCTGTTTCTTTTTTTTTTTGTTTTTTATTTGCTTTTTTTAATTTTCCTCGTTTTTTTTTTTTTTTTTTTTTTTTTGTTCTGGTCGCTTTTGCTTTTTGCATAAAACAAATGTGTCCCTGAGCGCTATTTGACTGCTTATAACTGGGCTATGTTGTTGTTGCTCGACGTTGATATCTGTTATTAATTTATGTAGAGAAAACGCAACAACAATTGCTGCAGCGCCAGCGCTGGCAACTGCAGCTTTTGAGGTCGCTGCGCAGCAGTCCACAGGTCTGTTGGGGCTCGATAGAGGTGGCTCGGCAGAGGGCGTGGCATGGCATGGCATGGCCYGGCACTGCACGGCGCTGGGCGCTGCTCTGTGGTATTTTGCATACACTTGCTAATTGCCGGCGCGTTAATTTATGTGGCGTCCGCGTACGCAGACGTCGGCTTAATGCATTTGCCACTTTGCCAGTTGCATGCAACAATTGCCAAAGTGGCCGCCAGTTGCTGCGCCGCTTGTGCCGCCTGATGCGCTTATGCTGCCTCCTTCGGCGACAATTAATAAACTTAATGGCAATTTAATGTACGACGCCGGAGACACAGCACAAGACGACAGATTTGCCGCTGCCTTCAACCATTCCAACCATTCATTCATCCCTTTGTCCATTTGTCCATTTGCTTCGCTGTTATCGACACGAAATGGTCACGGCTTTATTTGCTTTCGTTGTTGTCGCTTGTCTATGCTGATTTTTATTTTTAAACGTATATACCAGAAGTGCTCAGCTGTGTTCGCCTGGTGTTATGTAAATATACATATATATGCGCATATATATATATATATATTATATAACATATTGAATGCTGTCATATAGATCATTGTCAAGGCTAAAACTAGCTCATGCAGTTCGCAATGCAAATAGATACACAGATAAGGGCCATATACCAATATCTGTGTGTGTGTGTGAAATTACTATCTGTGTGTGCTGGATTATCATATCAGACCCAACACATCTATCTACATAAATACGTGTTATATAAGCAGCTGCATATTGCGGGTTGTTAGTGAAATACAGTTTTCTATTCCTCTAACTGAATCGTTAACAGCATAAATATATTTATACGGTCCCTTAGAGTATTTATCTAACCAGATATACATATATGCACATATTTTATTTACTTGACTACTTATTTATATATTTCTTTACTAACTATTTCACCCTTGAAAAACAAATTGAAGCTCTTAACGAGCTTTATTTGATAATTTTATGAGTTGATACTTATGAAGTTTTCTCTCATTTGCGTCTTGAAAATATATTTGAGCTTTTACGCAAATAGTTTTCAGTATGATTTTTCAAGTACTTCAATCAATTCAATAAATTGTTTGCTTAGCAGTTTTAGCAGTCTCGCATAGTAAACAAATTGCTCTTTTACAATAGTTTCTACTTGAGCTCGACTAGTTTTTATCAACATTTAGGAATGCTGTCCGCTCCATAGATTTTTGTTATCATATTTAAAGACTTCCAAAATACGCAGGCTTTGTTATTATTTAAGATTTTATTTAAGATTTAAAATTTACAAATTTATTCAATGTCTGTTCAAAAGTTTATTAAAACATTTATTAAAGTTTCTTTGTATTTGTAGAGACCAACAAGTCTATGAAGATCGAACGACGGTTGAGTTGACAGGCATATCATAGACAGGCAGACGGTTAGGACAGACGTGACTATTGATTTTGACCATGTCAGATGATAGTAAACAAGTATTATTTACCAACATCAAAAATAAATAATCTATACACTATTTTTTCGCATTTATATATTTACAAACAAGTTTCGGAAGCCAAACATTAGATTACATTGTTCCCAGCCTGAGGCCAGAAAGCCCTTATCAGGCTTGTAAAGATATTCTAGTCTTCTCGAACATTTTTCCCCAAAGAAATTCTTTCGATTTTAGTTGATTTTATTAAATTCCTCTTCTTGGCTCCTGAAAAATCTGCTCACATACTTAATGAATGCTAGATTTGTATATATAGATTTACGTATATATATGCATATAAATCTGCGTATATTTATGTAAATCAAGTGCTAACTCTTATGTATCGAAAGTTTGATTGCAGCAGTTAATGGTATTTTTATGGATGCGCAAAGTAAGTATATAATCGACATTTATAGGTATTTCATATCAAGTGAGAGCATTAAAACTTCACAAGGCTTTATCTTGTTGCTGTTGTTGTTGGTTTAATTGTCTTTTGATTGGCTATTCACTTGTTGTAAGTATATGTATAAATATATAGATTTTTTAATACTCACAGTCTTTCCACATCCGCTGATATTTTTCGCGGTACCTGCGTTAATCCACGATGCGAGCAGTCGACGGTTAAGCCGCTGCAGGAGCACACGCGCGGACAGCGCGCCTCTGTGATGACGCCCACTCCGCCGCCGGGTATGTGAATGCCCACGGAGCCCAAGCCGCCGCTGGCGATGGCTGAGCTGCCGAAAACGCTCGAATACGGTTCAGCACGGACCATGACAGCAGCTAGCATCAGCAGCAGTAGCAGAGGCATGGGCAGGGACTGGGACATGGACAGGGGCAGGATTAGAGCCTTAGCTCTCGCCGTGGCTGTCGCTGTGGCTTTACAGCGCGTCGGTGGTTGCACCGTTGACGGTGTCGTCGTCCTGGACGGCGGCGCCATTGTGGCACATTTATAAGCAACGTGCCTAATTGAAAGTATCGAGTGCGTGTGCGGACGCCACTTTGTCAACAGCAATCACTTTTCCACAAATATTTGCGCAAGGCAAAAGGATTGTCGTCGAGCGCTTACCGTGTTTCCCTGCTTTTCACGTATTTATCTATATATATTTATACATATATATGTATGTGCGCGTATGTATTTGATTGTTCACGACGGAGCATTGGTTTGATGCATTTCGTTGTTCGATATTCGTTTGACGATTTCGTTGTTATTTTGTTATTGCTCCACTTCGCGCTCTCGGCGCTCACTTTATTTTATTTATTTCGATTTTTGCAGCCCGTCGCGACCGCGCGCTTCTGCAGAACTGATAGCAGCTGTTGCAACGACAGTGGCAGCAATGGCAATAGCAGCGGCGAGTAACGAGTCGGGAGTGACGAGTAACGAGCGACGAGCGAACGCGTAGGTAGCCGGAGCCGTCCACTTAGTTAAATAGGTGCGGTGCGGTCCGGTGCTGCGCGGTGCGTCCAGCCGGAAATGCGCTGCGACTTAGAGTTGTTGTTGGTTGCTTTGAGATACGCACGCACTGGCGCTGGCACTTGGCTGTCAGCAGTTCAGAGACGCCTCGTCGGCAACTTCATCATGAGGTCCGTTCGTCTGTGACCTGCTGCGCGCATCTGCAACGAAATAGAAACAGAGAKAGAGAGACAATGAGAGCGAGAGCGAGAGCGAAAGAGCTAAATGTCAGGAAAAATCATGAAAAATCATCTATAAATTCGGCAAGCGTGTCTATGTCAATGCAATGGCAGGAAATTCTTACGGACTGCAATATAAATACACGGACTGTCTGTCTGTGTAGACAGACAAATATATATATCTACATATACATAAAATATACACATATGTATGTCTATATATCTTTATATCACTTTATATCACTTAAATAAAAAATAAAATAAAACTGAAACTAATGTGACAGCTTCTATCTGATGGACTGTACTCAAAGTTCTTAACATTTGTGTGCTGTGGAAAACAATAAAAATTACAGAATGACTTATTAACTATTGACGTTTTGCTTTGTTTTCGTACAGATCTCGTAAAGTATGAGAGGTTTAACATATCACAAGTTGAAAATAGTTAATTTTGTTTAACTTATATAAAATATGAATCTGTTATCCACATGCTATTATTCTTCAAATAACAGTCTTTGTCAATAAATATGATCAGATACTGTATTATGTACATTTCAAAAACATTTCTTTTATATATTTTGATTCCACTTTCATATTTGTAGTTGTTCTGAAAACTCGCATTCTTCAGACATGAGCAACGATCATTTAGGTTCTCTATCATATTTTCTATGTGGTCTTAAGTCTGCCGACCATTCTTGGGGGTTAGTTTTTTCTCTATTTTGTTTTTATCGAACCACCTGTCAGTATCAATAGCTGACAGCTCCAAAAGCAAGCAGACTAATCACCCTAGTCCTAAAACTATTATTATAGAATCTTGCACTGCCAACACATGTTTCCCTGAGTACCCGAAGAACCTGTAGCAAACATGCAGAGGGCACAGAGAAGGAAAACAAAATGACTAATGACTCAACTGCCGGTCTGCATAATAAAAGAGAGAACATGTGTTTTGATAACTTTCCAACTATGCCCCAGCGAAATTACTCAGAATTAGAATGTATGCTGATTAGGCAATTCCGCAGTCATTCACTTAAGCAATTCATTTGTTAATTAGATTCACATTCTTCTATGGAATCTCAAAAGCCTACGCTCAATCTTGAACTAACCTGAACTACTTTGTTCTCATTTGAAGCTAGCTGTACAACAAAAAATAGATTTAAGACCTTAAGTGAGCACTTTGGCTCAATTAAATCTATGTCTACAAATTGTGTTTGTCGTCGTCGTCTTCTTCTAAGTAATGGTCCTCAATCTGTTAGGTCGTGAGCCCTTCCACTCCAAATAGGTCAGAAACTCTAGGCTCTACCGCTGCCCAAATCAGATCTATATTTAGTGCACTTGTGCACTGTGTGGTCCTGCCTCCCTCTTCCTCTGCCATACTGCCTCCATCTCCATCTCCATCTTCCTCTCCCTCTTCAGCTACAATCCCATCTGTGTGCCATGCCTCCGAGTGTGGCACACTTCCCGTTGTCTCCTGTTTGTCTGTCATGTTATGTATTTAATTTGCAAATTGACATGTTAAATATACACCCTGCCCCGCTCTCCAGCTCTCTGTCTCTGTCCCTGTCTCTATCTCTCAGCCCTGCATGCTCGATACCATATATTGGAATTAATTGTTTAAATTAACATTCGGATAGCTGACAGCAGCGATTGACTTCAAATTTGATTGAGAATATGAATGATAACGAGACATAGCTCTAGCTCGAGTAATCACTGAGAGCATGGTAGGAATTGGGAAGTTGAGGGGAGCCACCTGTCAAATATTCTTAACAGGCAATCAACGAAACTCAATGAACACTGCTTGGCTAATGTAATTTAACAAGCTTGGGAAAGTATTTATATGCTCTCTACCAGACGATAATATGCGGGAGACTTGATTGACTTAAGTGGCATTTAAATAATTGAGAGCTCTGTACAGGGTCTTAAATATCAACGTTGCGAATAAATATCAAATCAACAATATAGTTCAGTGATTGAACTCTACTATTATAGAGCATATAGAGCATATATAGAGCATATAGTAAATAAGAATTATTGGATTTCGCATCGTTACGCTCTAAGCTCTAAGCTTCGACTCAATCAAAGGGTATCTGAGAGTTGATCACATTAACTCAAGGAGCACCTCCTGGTTGCGTGCTGGAGAATGTTGTTGGATTTTCGCATGGAACTGCCTATCAAAGGCATGCCAAACACAAGCAGGCAGGCAGCCAGCCACCCATCATCCATCCATCCATCCATCCATCCATCCATTCGAAGAGCCTTTAATCAAAAATTTATCATTTCTCTAGGACAAAAATATTTTTGCTGCAAAGGCATGCCTTTCTTCCTATAACGATGATGACGTTGACAACGCTGATGATGATTATTATGAAGAGAGAACGGAAGTGTGGGGTAAAATGTTCAAAAGATGTAATCACTGCATTGTCACCAACCGGAGACGGGCCTCAGTCTCAAAACTCAGATTCAGTTTCAGTCTTTTGGCCGGGTAAGATTGTGTATGGGGGGTGTGTTTGGGGCTGTGGGTGAGGGGTAGGCATGGAGGCAGCATTCTACTCTCTTGAGTTTCATATGAAACATAAATCAGTGAAATTCTATACATGCCAATGATTGTCTACTCTTTGGCCTCGGCACACACACAAAAATTCCAACAGCAAAATTCAATGCATGCCAATAACTCGTTACTCGTACCATAAACTAAAAGGCCAGAAAGCAGATGCCACTGCCCGGGGACTTGTATACAAGTCTAATGAAAAGGCGACAGCTTTGGCTGGCGGGCAGGCGGGCAGGCGGGCACGCGGGCAGGCGGGCAGGTGGGTAGACGAGCAGGCGGGAAGCAACAACTCAAGTGAACCACAATCGGCCCCAGAATCCCACCTATCTCCCACACTGGCTGTCCGGCTTATTAAGATAACGCGTGAAAAAGCGAGTGACATTTGAGCAAACAGTGAAGCGCACTATTCAAATAGCGCTGCTAGAGAGAGGCCTGACTGGAGTGCCAGGAGACGGGTTGGGCCTCTAGATTAATGAGCATCAGCAACTAGGAATTGCTTTGAAACAATAGATTTATGTGGATCCACTGGCGCTCTTTACATCTCTATAGTTATGCCCACAATCTGTTGTTTGGCGAAATAGCTGCCCCTCGGGCCACGGACTCTTGTGGATTTTCCAATAAATTACGCTTAAGTATGCACTTAATTCAAATAATGCCAAGTTGCACGCCTTCATCTAGCAGGGATCGGGGCTAAGGGGAGCCAAGAGGGCCACGGGGGCCACGGGAGCAGGGACTATACTTGTCGTGTGCTGCCCTCAAGTGATTTGTTTTTGTGTGGCTTATACAAGTTGGGCCCCTCTATCCAGTAAAATAAATGTGTGCCTGTGTGTGTGTATGTGTGTGTATTTACCATTGCTTATGACATGTGTCAAATTCGTGTTGTGCTCCTCTCAACTTGTCTGGCTCAGCTGTCCAGATAAGCTGCATCAGAGTCGGGGCTCAGGGTGAACTTTATGAATGTGTTGATATTTTTTATAAACACCCAGTCAAAGGGATTAAGCTGTAGTCAGCAAAGTGAAAAACTGCACGAGTTGTAGCTTCATCAAGAGTATTACGAGAAGAGCAGTTGTCCGCAGACCACAGGCAAACCCAAATAAAATACCCAAAGACCCAAAGGGTCCGTTGCTTATTCTTGTATATAGGAGTATCAATCATAATTAGATTTATTAGCACTTAAACAAATAATAAGCAAAACCAACCAAATTCACTTAAATATTGACAAGGCAAATAAGATAAAAACAAAGTCAGAAGCAGCCAACTGATTGGTAAGTTCAGGAAAACACAAGAAAATTTCCACAAAACTGAATCAGTGCTCATTTAGACAAAAACATGCATTTGGAGAGCAACAGTTTCAATTCACTCCACTCGAAAAGCAAAAAACACTTAACATCATGAAACAAACCAGCAGCTCATTCATGATTTTCAATTGTATTCATTCTTGGATTATAATGGATATTTAATTTGAAATTGCATCTCAACAGAAACTATAATCTGAGAATGAGTAGTTTACTGTTAATGTCAGCTGGGCTTCCTTTCTATATATCTTCTTCTTCTTTTATATCTATCTAAGCCACTTCTCCGTTCCCGTTGAATTTACTAAAGGGTCTGGCTGGCAATGCCATTCAGCTGGAACTGCTGCCAAGTATGACACGACTTAAGACTAATTAAAGGCCTTGCTTTTCCATGTAACATTATATCTATTCATCTGGACCACGTACAATGTCCAGCTGCATTTTTTCACTCGTGCTCTGGCATTTCCGCCGCCTCTTCCATCAGCATCCAAAATGTGACACACTGTGTGTGCGTGCTCCCCCGCAACTCCTGCGAGAGCATTGCCAGTTAGCATTACAGATGCTGCATAAAAGGAAAGGAAAGAAAAGGAAAGGAAAATAACCCCTTTTCTGTGTACTACGTTATATGCACGTTACTAGCATGAAGCGTGGTCAGCGCTCAATGAATCGTATTAAGGCAATGCCACAGATGGAGACTGAATGAGTGAGTGACTGACTGAGACTGAAAGTCTCAGGGTTTTTCTCTCTCTCTCTCTCTCTCTCTCTTCATTTTATTATTATTTGTAAGCCCATCTTCAGAGCCGGAAGTGTCGCATACCTTAACGGATACACCGGCTTAATTATGTGCATAACATACTACGTACACATAAGTATAAAAATATATACAGATACGCAATCCCTAGACAGTGTCGTGGCATGAAATGACAAAACACGTACATTAATTGCTCCACATTCATTCTACAGCTGGAGCCGGAGCCAGTCAGAGTTACGTTAGAGAGCAATGAGTGTCCCCCAGGAGATGCTGGGTGAAAGGAAAGCAAGCGCTAAGGTCTCGACAAAGCCAACCAGGCTTATTATTTATTAATCTATGCATAACATACACACACTTACACACCCATACACTCGCACAGCAACTGGGAGCTGCACAA